TCTTTATCAACTGGATCTTTGAAGTGGACTTGTCAGTACTGCTCACCCCCATGATACCACCCTCTTCCATTCTTCTTCTGATAGCTTTTTCATGGGTTACTATTGATTGCTGAGGTGCTCAGAATTTTGTCAGGCCACTGCTATTCTCATTCCAAGTGTCAGTAACTAGTCAACTATTAACTAATGCTGAACAGTACAGAAACCCCAAGTGAAACTTTCTACATTAATCACTCAAGTCTAGACTCAAACACCCCACTGTCTTGTAGACACCTCAGTCTAAGTAACTGTCTGCTCATGGGTTCTCCTCCAAGTAGACAGTGAGCATACTGTAGGCAAGGACTGCTGGAACTCATTTCTATATTGTAAGTCCCGTAAGTCCTCACACAATATCAAGCTAGTGTTACCTGCGTGGGTGAAAAAATGCACAAGAGTACGAACAGATGGTAGTGCTACCACTTTTAAATTAGTTAAGCAGCGAAAAAGGTTAAGTTTTTCATGGACTGCACTAAAACTTAATCACAACAATGAGAAACTGTCTGATAGCCCAAGCAACCAATATAAAAATGAACTTTGGAAAGTTGAAAACTCCCTATATGCCTCCCTAGAAGCAGGGCACAGTCCAGATGGCTTTCTATAATTTCATGTTCCTGTTAGTCTCACAAATAATCAAAAAGAACACATACATAATTACATGCAACAGACACAAATATAAAACATGGCATTCATAAATCACTGCTACAATTCATTATAGACCTTAAGAGTTAAGGTAATAAAATAAAGAGATGTGTAAATTGTCAATAACTAATTTTCTAGGACACCAAAAATCAGATTCCATACTAATATAAGAATAAAATGCTAATGGAAATTAGATATAAATGTGTAAATGCAAAAGCTACAATCCCTAGTAAATGTGTACAAGTACATATTTAATTCTACACACTCACTAATTCAAGTATTTATTGAGTACTCAGTATGAGTCAAGAACTATTGTATGTATGGAGGTCAGAAGAATAAATCAAACGAGAGAAATTCCTGCCTTCAAAGATTTTACATTCTAGAAAAGAGAGCATACAACAAGCAAAATATAAGTAAAATATGTAATACATTGATGTAGGGGCAAGTAGATGGCCCAACAGTTATGTTGCTGGACTCCCACAGGACCAGCCACAGTTCGAGTCCAAGACCTGGAGGCTTGAAACTCATACCAGACATGCATGTGTGAATGAGGAGAATGGAGAAGACTGCGGCATGGTCATCCTCCCTGGGCGGTGATTTCTCGCTTTCTGTCTCTGTCTTTCTGGCAAGCCCATACATCCTACAACAAAAATCTTCCTGAGAGAGAAAGAACATATAGATATACATAAAATATACTATATAGAAAGATAGAGATAGATAGATGTAATGAGTGTTATAGTTGGGAGGCAGGGGACACAAAATGTCTGGGGCTGAAGAAAAGGGAGAATGAAACATGGTGAGAGAAGATCTCAATAGCATTATAATATTAGATAGTATTTGGGTAAAGATCTGAGCAACAGGGAGGCATGAGGCTACCCAAGATATTAGTGTTCAAGGCAGAAGAAAGTGTGAAGGCCCTGAGTCAAGAACAAGCCTGGAATATTGTAGAAACAGAAAGACACTAAAGTGTCTGGAGAGGAGGAAAAAGGAGAGTGAGAATGTGGAGATGAAGTAAGAGAAAAAAGATGGCCACTATGTTCCTAAGCCAATACTGCTTCTGTAATTCAAGCTATCCTAAAAGCAAATCCACTTCTATTTATATGGATTTTCTAATAAAACTTACTCAAAGAGTAAATATAGATACTTACTCTGTCATATTTAGCGACTATTTCGGCTCGTTCCTGGGCAAGTTTGAGTGCTACATCCTGGTCTGAATCTGTGGAGAGACCAAATTTAGATGACTTATTCAAAGAATCATAAAGTTATTTATGAAATTAAGATTATTAAAAAAAATACTAAAATAACAAACTGGCAAAATCAATCATAGAAGGATGAGATAAGTATCTCTAACTACAACTTTGGAATAACAACATATCTACCATTTCAACAATACATATGACATTCAAAAGAAAACATATTCATTAACATAACAAACTTAGAGACATGATAAATCTTTTCCTCAAAAATCTATTTTGGGTCTGGTCTGGTGGTGCAGCTGGTAGCAAACTGAACTGCAGTGTTGGAAGCCACAAGGCCGATGCAAGTTGGGATCTCTAGGCTGGCCTGAAAACACGATAGGCATGCACACATATACCCCAAATCCTCACAAGCTGGAAGGCTGGAGAAAGGGGATCATGCTACACAAGACCCTGTTAAGGACGCCCACTCCCGTTCTCTCTTTTCTCTACATACACATGTGGATTCTACTATGAATCAAAAAAATTTTTTTGATTCTAAAATTTCATAGAAATGAGTACTGAAGAAGAAACTGAAACTGAAAGCTCTAAGCTTTCAGAGAAAACCACTGGCATAGAAGAGAATAACCAAAAAGACTTTTAAAAAAAAATAAGGTAAATTCTCCACAAAATAAACTAGCACAAGGTATACTTTAGGAGTTAAATATATACGGCGAGAGAGAGAGCTGACCCCATAAACATATTTAAAAATACATAATTTGTTTTATTGCCAATAGACACATGTACTTGCCAGAAAGAAAGAGGTAACTCCCTAATGGGCATGGCCATGCCAAATCCCCTTTCCTCCATTTCTCCAGCCTATCAGGACTCTGGGCACCCAGACACCCTCAAGCCACTGAGGCTGGGACTTGAACCATGATTCACCATGTGGGATCCAGCTTCCCTTGCACAGGATGTGCTACAAGGCCAGCACCCCCCACAAAGTATTTATCTTACATGATGAAAATAATCATATCTTCATTTAGCCTTCCAGGTCCCTATATCAATTGCCTCAATTACTATAATCATCTCCTAACCGATCTCTATGCCACTGGTTTAAAACGTACACGTACATATACACACAAACACACACCCTTTCTTATTGACAGTAGGTGTCTTTCAAAAACACAAATCTGTCAACAGCGGAGATTACAACTTGAAAGAGTATAAATATGATTACATATCCTGAGTACCAAAAATAAAAATAAAAGACCAATGTATAAAAGGCATCTCTGATCGAGAAGAAAAAGACAGGGACCAGCAGATGGTGTTGCTAGACTCCCACTTAGCTGACCACAGTTCAACTCCAGGACCCAGTGGCTTGAAACACACCGGGTGCATGGGTGTGCATGCCCAAAATCCCCGGAGGAGAATAGAGGACAAGGAATTGTTGCATGACCATCCCCCGGGGGATGATTTCTCCTTTCTGTCTCTCTCTCTCTCCAGCCAGTTCATGCAACCTATAGCAAAAATTTCTCTCTAAAAGGAAAAGAAAAGAAAAGAAAAGAAAAGAAAAGAAAAGAAAAGAAAAGAAAGGAAAGGAAAGGAAAGGAAAGGAAAGGAAAGGAAAGGAAAGGAAAGGAAAGGAAAGGAAAGGAAAGGAAAGGAAAGGAAAGGAAAGGAAAGGAAAGGAAAGGAAAGGAAAGGAAAGGAAAGGAAAGGAAAGGAAAGGAAAGGAAAGGAAAAGAAAAGAAAAGAAAAGAAAAGAAAAGAAAGAAAAGAAAAGAAAAAGACAGTGTTTCAGGAGAAACCTGTGCAAAACTCTTGAGCAAGAAATTCACACAAGTAACAACAGCAGCAACTATATTAATGTTCTTACTAATTGCCTGGCATATGGTAAGATCTGCCAGGCAGCAGATACCACACTAAGCACCTTGTGATATTTTATCACATTTAATCCTCACAGCATTCAATGATATTCAATGATAGGTGGCATGTCACTATTAATTCTATCCCAACAATAAAAATGAAACCTGAAGATTTTAAGAGACTTGTCCAAGGTCAAACCGTCAAACCTACTAAAGAACAAAGCTAGGCTCTGAATCCAAACAGTTTTGACCTCATAAACCATGATTTTTCTTCTTTCTTTTCTTTTCTTTTTCTTTCTTTCCTTTTTTTTTTTTTTTTTTTTTTTTTTTTTTTTTTTTTTTTTTTTTGGCTAGAGGGCATGTGAGCATGCCAGACAAATAGAGAGAAGGAGAGGAGAAGGTACTCCTCATGGGGAATGGTCACACCACGATCCCTTTTCCTACATCTCTCCCTCCTTTGGGGATTTTGGGCACAGGCTCACATGTTTCTCAAGGCACCAGATCCAGGACTCCTACTCAGGGGTCAGCCCTGTGGGATTCAGATTCCTTAACTACCACACCACAGAGCCAGCCCCATAATTCACAAATGTAACAACTACTTCATAAAAACTTCTACTAAAGGACAAAAAAAGGATTTCCAATTATAGATGGTAGATAGCGCACATACTAAAATCCCACTAAAATGACATATAGGGGTTCTTAAAATCCCTTCCCTCGAAGGCCTGACCAATGGTGGTTCCTGAAGAGAGTTAAGGATGAGATTTAAAACCTGGGAAACCAACAGATGATGCCTAAAACTGAAGAAGCACGAAGTGGCAATATCGACTTGTTACCACCTAGCACTGTGGAAGTGGAGAATCAGCCCTGTACTAGAGACTGGTTACTGCCATGCAGTGGGCAGTGAGGAGGGGGAAGTATTGGAGCCACCTGTTTTCATAACAAGTCTTACTGAATCTTTAAGTCAAGTTCAGCTCTGATAAAAAATAATATCTATATTCAAAAACGAAGACATGGAAGAAAATCAACCTCATTAGTAACTAGGGAAATAAGTTTTAAATATTACTTTGTACCTATCTCAGAGTAATAAAAAAAAAAAAGCATTGATTTACTCAGTGTTGACCCCAGCTTGAAGAAATTTGCAGTAACTTACACTGAGTTATACACATATAAAATCTACTGGAAAGCAACTTGATAATATTTATTTTAAAAATCTTCAAAAAAAGGATATCTTTTACTCACAATTCTACCTCTACAGACTTATGCCAATGAGATAATCAAACAAGCCTGAGGTTGTTTCTAATAGTAGAAATAGCAAAATGGGAATGTATACAATTTTTAGGAAAAAAAGTCACTGCTTTTTCAGTTAGATCAGACAAAATTCAGTATGTTAACCTTCAAAGGGTAACAGTGAACAAAGAAGTAAACAGAATGGTTCAAAACTATTAAAAAAAATACAGAATAGTGCTCAGATTTCACTAAGACAAACAGAAGATTGAGAAAAATCAGCTCAGTTATGTACATACTCATTATCCTATTTTATTTTAGACGTATAAGCTTTTGTCAATTCTTTTTGTTCCCTCTTCTGTTGCCTAGCTTTAAAATATTACACTCATACTTCTACCAAAGATTACGAAAAGCAAATTAATAGAAATTAAATTCAGGGGGCTAGCAGGTGGCATGGTGGTTAAGGGCACTGGACTCCCAGATAGTCAACAGTGGTTTGAGTGGTTTGAGTCCCAGACCCGGCAGCTTTCTTTCTCCCTTTCTTTCTCTCTCACTCTGTCCCTCTCTGGTCAAATTAAAATAAATAAAGTTAAATAGAATATTTTTTTTAAAAAAGAAATTAAATTCAAACTTACTAAACTCCATTTCTATTATTAGAGCTGCTGAGCACAAATTTATTTGATGATGAGGTCAAATTCAAAGAGTCCTTTCTGAGAATGTATTTTAGACCAGTTCTTCCTGCTACAAAGTCCTAGGAGTTTCAAGTATAACATAACATTGAACCACTGAAGCAATGAAGAACACAACAGTAACAACCAGAAACTATATGCAACTGGGAAATGACAAAGCAAAGTATCCCAAGAAAACATCACTGTGACAAACTGTAAGATACAAAGCTTTACAGATTTCATCATGAGTCTAGAGATTTTCCAGAAATGAAAACCTAATCACATAATAGAGGTCTTACTGGAATTGGATAAGACCACATCCTGATTTTCTGAGAGAAAGATGATGTACTCTCACATGAGCAGAGAAGATGATTCTAAGTTAAATAAATAAATTCTAAATCTCTAAATTCACTTAAAAAATTTCTAGTGTTAGTATTTCTCCATGGAAAGAAAATTTTATAATTTTAATGAATGCATTCAAAAAAGAGCAAAGATTTAAAGTCAAACTAATCTTAAAAATATAGCCAAAATAAATCTGCCTTTTTGAAGAGACTAAATGGAAATGCCAAATTGACCCCAGTAATGAGTTTAATACTCCACATTGGGAGGCAATACAACCATCTAAAGTAAGAGGCACTTTCCTTACGAAGGGTTTGCTATAGTTATGTTTCAAACTTTCTGACTTGCGGTTGAGAAATGTATTAAGAACTCCACTGGAAGCCAGCCACAGTGACACTGCAGTGCAGAGCAGTGATGCTCCACAATGCTGAAACTATGTGCTGAGGAGTCCCCAGGTCTCCCTGTACACACCAGGCATGAAAGTATGCCCATGTACCTGGCTGGCTGAACCTGGGGGAAGATGGTGGCAAAAACGTCTTTGTTGAGAGAACCAACCTACTTCTCACTCACTCTCACTTCACCACCCCCAAAAAATAAATAACCTTAAAATACAAAAAGAATTATACTGGGGCCAGCAGGTGGCAAGGTGGTTAAGGTGCTGGACTCTCACTTGGCCAACTGTGGTTTGAGTCCCAACCTGGCAGCTTAAAAATCACATCAGATATGTTTGCATGCACACCCAAAGTCCCAAGAGGAGAGAGAATGGAGGAGAAGGGACTGCAGCATAGCCATCCCCTTTGGGGGAGGTGATTTCTCACTTTCCCTCTCTCTGTCTCTCTCCAACAAGTACACAAAACCCATGGCAAAATATATAAATAAAAGATTTACACTAAACTAATTTCTTGGGTTTCATCTTGATTGCTTATTTAGGAATTCCACTGA